AGCAGTGTACGTCTTAATACACTCTGGTGGTGAGTGTGAGGAACAGTGTACGTCTTAATACACTCTGGTGGTGAGTGTGAGGAACAGTGTACGTCTTAATACACTCTGGTGGTGAGTGTGAGAAACAGTGTACGTCTTAATACACTCTGGTGGTGAGTGTGAGGAGCAGTGTACGTCTTAATACACTCTGGTGGTGAGTGTGAGGAGCAGTGTACGTCTTGATACACTCTGGTGGTGAGTGTGAGGAACAGTGTACGTCTTGATACACTCTGGTGGTGAGTGTGAGGAGCAGTGTACGTCTTAATACACTCTGGTGGTGAGTGTGAGGAGCAGTGTACGTCTTGATACACTCTGGTGGTGAGTGTGAGGAGCAGTGTACGTCTTGATACACTCTGGTGGTGTGTGTGAGGAGCAGTGTACGTCTTGATACACTCTGGTGGTGAGTGTGAGGAACAGTGTACGTCTTGATACACTCTGGTGGCGAGTGTGAGGAACAGTGTACGTCTTGATACACTCTGGTGGTGAGTGTGAGGAGCAGTGTACGTCTTGATACACTCTGGTGGTGAGTGTGAGGAGCAGTGTACGTCTTAATACACTCTGGTGGTGAGTGTGAGGAGCAGTGTACGTCTTGATACACTCTGGTGGTGAGTGTGAGGAGCAGTGTACGTCTTGATACACTCTGGTGGTGAGTGTGAGGAACAGTGTACGTCTTAATACACACTGGTGATGAGTGTGAGGAACAGTGTACGTCTTGATACACTGGTGGTGAGTGTGAGGAGCAGTGTACGTCTTAATACACTCTGGTGGTGAGTGTGAGGAGCAGTGTACGTCTTGATACACTCTGGTGGTGAGTGTGAGGAACAGTGTACGTCTTGATACACTCTGGTGGTGAGTGAGAGGAGCAATGTACGTCTTAATACACTCTGGTGGTGAGTGTGAGGAGCAGTGTACGTCTTGATACACTCTGGTGGTGAGTGTGAGGAGCAGTGTACGTCTTGATACACTCTGGTGGTGAGTGTGAGGAGCAGTGTACGTTTTGATACACTCTGGTGGTGAGTGTGAGGAACAGTGTACGTCTTGATACACTGGTGGTGAGTGTGAGGAGCAGTGTACGTCTTAATACACTCTGGTGGTGAGTGTGAGGAGCAGTGTACGTCTTAATACACTCTGGTGGTGAGTGTGAGGAGCAGTGTACGTCTTAATACACTCTGGTGGTGAGTGTGAGGAACAGTGTACGTCTTAATACACTCTGGTGGTGAGTGTGAGGAGCAGTGTACGTCTTAATACACTCTGGTGGTGAGTGTGAGGAACAGTGTACGTCTTAATACACTCTGGTGGTGAGTGTGAGGAACAGTGTACGTCTTAATACACTCTGGTGGTGAGTGTGAGGAGCAGTGTTCGTCTTAATACACTCTGGTGGTGAGTGTGAGGAACAGTGTACGTCTTAATACGCTCTGGTGGTGAGTGTGAGGAACAGTGTACGTCTTAATACACTCTGGTGGTGAGTGTGAGGAACAGTGTACGTCTTAATACACTCTGGTGGTGGGTGTGTGTGTGTGTGTGTGTGTGTGTGTGTGTGTGTGTGTGTGTGTGTGTGTGTGTGTGTGTGTGTGTGTGTGTGTGTGTGTGTGTGTGTGTGTGTGTCGCTGCTGGTATCGTCAATGTTCTTCACAAGAGTCAGAGTTAGCGTTTGTTTAGCTGTTTCTTCTTCTGGTGTTGCACCATCTTTGTGACATCTTTCATGTCCAGAGCCTTGTTTTGGTGTTGTCCATGTGTTCCACGGTGTTGCTGCACTCAACACACAGGATGCACCTCAAGTGTTAAATGTTCTCACATACAGCGATCATTTATACAAAGTGAGAGGTACATTGTGTACAGTGTGCGTACACCGTGTGTGTGCACCGTGTGGGTACACCATGTGTGTGGTGTACACCACATGTGTATAATGTACACCACGTGTGTAGAGTATGTATATGCCGTGTGAGTGCACCGTGTTGGTACTTCAGTACAGATGAACGTATAACGATATTGTCCAGTGTAGTTCCCAAGAAGAGCATGACGTCACTCTTACTATAGCTAATTATTAGTTTATCAGGTTACTACGTCATTCTTACCATAACCAATTATTAGCTTATCAGGTTACTACGTCACTCTTACCATAACCAATCATTAGCTTATCAAGTTACTACGTCACAGTTGTAACTAGTCAACACTCTACTACAATAAACATCATCATGAGGTTATTAGAGTAATAACACCGGTGTTATTGTTGTTAGTCACGATGGGTTCGAACCCCAGGGAACGAGAGGAGTTTGAACCCATGGTGAGTGAGTGGTAAAACTCCAGGCCAGCACGTAAGCCATTCTACCAGCTGGCTACAATAAGATTCATCCAACTAGGAATATTTCGAAACACCACAGGGAAGTTAGAATGGGCCACCACTGTGGCCACAAATGCATGCTTTTACAGATGAATCTCCAGCCACTTAGCGCAACACCTGATTAAGTCTACTGACGTTTTCACTGGAATACATGTGAATATAATAGTGAAGACAGTATTATTATTATTATTATTATTATTATTATTATTATTATTATTATTATTATTATTATTTTGACGTGATCAATCCGTCAGTCTTGGTAGAAAGTGGTCAGTCCCTCAAGGCTTTAGGGACTGACCACTTCCTATCAAAGCTGAGGGACTGACGAAGTCAAAACTACATGTATCGTCTCCAGTGTTATATTCTGCTTTAGTCACCTGAAAAAAACTATTGTAGGTCAATAAAGATACGTAGCTGTTGCACCCATGTCTTATTATTCACCCTCAGGGGAAATTCTTCTCTTGCTCACATACCTCAAATTCATTTTTTTGTATTTCTCTGTAAAGTTTACAATGTGTGGTTTACATATTAGAAAATAAAGAAAGCCACTAGTATGCCTAGGCGAGGCTACGCTACTGACAACACTCGCATAACAGTGTAGACATTAACACGACAACAGTGACCTGTGTTAACCTACAACACTCGCATAACAGTGTAGACATTAACACGACAACAGTGACCTGTGTTAACCTACAACACTCGCATAACAGTGTAGACATTAACACGACAACAGTGACCTGTGTTAACCTACAACACTCGCATAACAGTGTAGACATTAACACGACAACAGTGACCTGTGTTAACCTACATACAAAGTGTGGTGCGGTGTTAAGTTAACAATTAGAGTGCGACGTCAAAGGATCAAGTTTACATGCGCCACAGATAACATTACCCACTAACCTGACTCTTTCACACCCTTGAAATTACGGATCAAAAGCTTGTATCCTAGTATCCCCGTTCCATCTAAGCTGTTCCCCGTCCTCTTTCCAGTAAGGATGACACACACAACAGCCTGATAACACTCGCGTACCTATTTACAACTGAAGAGGGAAAGCAAGCGTAGAGCCATTACTTGCAGTTTACCTGGATAATTTCTAGAGATTGTTCCTGAAGTCAACGCCCCCGCGGCCCGATACCAGATCAAGCTTCTGGATAGATGGCTTGATCATCCAGGATGCTGATGCTAAATAAGTAGTTCAAATTATGCACCACAACCCAGCTGATCAGGAACTAACATGGGGATCTTATTAACTCCTTAAAGTTAGGGATTTGTTTGTGATTCCCTTTATATGTACAGAGTTGTAGATAAAGGGTTCAAAGAACCGACAAATTAATATATCAAACGCATGTGCAGTGCATGTGTATAGTTATTGTGGAATCATTTAGCCACACATGGCTTCATCAGTCTAATACAAAGAAGAATAGTGAAGATCAGAAGGAGATCGATGTAATCAGTCCATCAACCTTCTTCAAGATTCATGGACTGAGTATATTGTCTCCAGACTGAGGGACTGATTACCTCTATCTCCTTCTGATCTCCACTATTCTTCTTTGTATAGGACTGATGAAGCCACTGTGTGGCGAAACGTTTCCACAATAAAGATACCCAAGTGTTGCACATGTGTCTAATTTATCACGAGAAGACTTGCCTATATGTCTTGCTTCGCCCGAGAACCGAACAGGGGTACCATCTGTTGTGAGCAGAGTGCTCTACAACTGATACCCCTCAAGGAAGGTTCCTTGATGTTGGCGAGGGGCTCTTGATTTAGGGAATTGGATCTGTGCTCCAGTTCCCCGAATTAAGCCTGAATGCCTTCCACATCCCCCCCCCCAGGCGCTGTATAATCCTCCGGGTTTAGCGCTTCCCCCTTGATTATAATAATAATAATAATCTACAACTGATACAAAGGCACCAGACAACATCTACACAACGGTGATGGTGATGTTTAACCCACCATCTTTCTTTGTACCTTCACATTGTTTGTAAGCAGAGTTAACAATGGTACAGAGGGTTCCAGAGGTGAAGAAAGCTGGTGAAAGCTCACCCAGTAGACTGGCGTACACCAACACCAGCAACAACAAAAGTAATGACAGTAACAAGAACAGTCATAGTAACAACAATAACAATAAAATCAACACTAACAATAAGAATCGCAATGACAACAATAACAGTCGCAATAACAAGAACAATAAGGGTAACAAGAACAGTAACAATAACAAGGATAACAAGAACAATAAGGGTAACAATAACAAGGGTAATAATAACAGTAAGGGTAACACTAACAAGGTTAACAATAACAAGTGTAACAACAATAACAAGGGTAACAATAACAAGTGTAACAACAATAACAAGGGTAACAAGAACAATAACAAGTGTAACAACAATAAGGGTAACAAGAGCAATAACAAGTGTAACAACAATAACAAGGGTAACAAGAACAATAACAAGTGTAACAATAACAAGAACAATAACAAGTGTAACAACAATAACAAGGGTAACAAGAACAATAACAAGGGGTAGCAGTAACAATAAGGGTAACAATAACAAGGAGTAACAGTAAAAATAACAAGGGTAACAACAGTAACAATAACAAATGTAACAACAATAACAGCTACTCACTGTCACTAGAGGCAGAGCTGCTGCTGCAGTCCTTCGCATCCTTCAATCTCTGTGTTAACTTGCCCATCCTCCGTGTGCGTGTGTGTGTGCTTACTTATTTGTAGTTCGAGGGGTCGAGCCACAGCTCCTGGACCCGTCTCTTCGCTGTGTGTAGTTCAATAATACACACTCTGGGTAGAATGCAGGTGTAGGACTAGATATATATACTCTATATGGGCGTGCTAATGATGGTAGTGGTGTGGGCGTGCTGGTGGTGGTGGAAGTGTGGGCGTGCTGGTGGTGGAGGAGGTGTGGGCGTGAACTGCCGTGGTCGCTGCACGAACAATACTGACACTAGCCAGAGAGGCGGAGCTGTATGGTGTATCACCCCCACCACACACACACAAACACACACACACACACACACACACACACACACACACACACACACACACACACACACACACACACACACACACTGCGTACTCTTAGACTGCAAGAAGGCCTTTGATACTGTACTTCGTAGGAGACCAACAAAAACTTGAGGTGCAGGCAGGAATAACAGGGACCGTACTCCGGTGGAGAGGAAGCAAAGAGTGACTGTCAGAGAAGAGATTTCAGAATGGGAATGAGTAACAGGTGAGGCTCGGCAAGAACTGGTATTAGGACCAGAAATGTTTCTAGAGGTGGTACCTCCCTCCCTCCCTCTCTCTCTCTCTCTCTCTCTCTCTCTCTCTATATATATATATATATATATATATATATATATATATATATATATATATATATATATATATATATATATATTTATTTATTTATTTATTATTTTATCACACTGGCCGATTCCCACCAAGGCAGGGTGGCCCGAAAAAGAAAAACTTTCACCATCATTCACTCCATCACTGTCTTGCCAGAAGGGCGCTTTACACTACAGTTTTTAAACTGCAACATTAACACCCCTCCTTCAGAGTGCAGGCACTGTACTTCCCATCTCCAGGACTCAAGTCCGGCCTGCCGGTTTCCCTGAACCCCTTCATAAATGTTACTTTGCTCACACTCCAACAGCACGTCAAGTATTAAAAATCATTCGTCTCCATTCACTCCTATCAAACACGCTCACGCACGCCTGCTGGAAGTCCAAGCCCCTTGCACACAAAACCTCCTTTACCCCCTCCCTCCAACCTTTCCTAGGCTGACCCCTACCCCGCCTTCCTTCCACTACAGACTGATACACTCTTGAAGTCATTCTGTTTCGCTCCATTCTCTCTACATGTCCGAACCACCTCAACAACCCTTCCTCAGCCCTCTGGACAACAGTTTTGGTAATCCCGCACCTCCTCCTAACTTCCAAACTACGAATTCTCTGCATTATATTCATACCACACATTGCCCTCAGACATGACATCTCCACTGCCTCCAGCCTTCTCCTCGCTGCAACATTCATCACCCATGCTTCACACCCATATAAGAGTGTTGGTAAAACTATATTCTCATACATTCCCCTCTTTGCCTCCAAGGACAAAGTTCTTTGTCTCCACAGACTCCTAAGTGCACCACTCACCCTTTTCCCCTCATCAATTCCATGATTCACCTCATCCTTCATAGACCCATCCGCTGACACGTCCACTCCCAAATATCTGAATACATTCACCTCCTCCATACTCTCTCCCTCCAATCTGAGATCCAATCTTTCATCACCTAATATTTTTGTTATCCTCATAACCTTACTCTTTCCTGTATTCACTTTTAATTTTCTTCTCTTGCACACCCTACCAAATTCATCCACCAATCTCTGCAACTTCTCTTCAGAATCTCCCAAGAGCACAGTGTCATCAGCAAAGAGCAACTGTGACAACTCCCACTTTATGTGTGATTCTTTATCTTTTAACTCCACGCCTCTTGTCAAGACCCTCGCATTTACTTCTCTTACAATCCCATCTATAAATATATTAAACAACCACGGTGACATCACACATCCTTGTCTAAGGCCTACTTTTACTGGGAAATAATTTCCCTCTTTCCTATGTACTCTAACTTGAGCCTCACTATCCTCGTAAAAACTCTTCACTGCTTTCAGTAACCTACCTCCTACACCATACACTTGCAACATCTGCCACATTGCTCCCCTATCCACCCTGTCATACGCCTTTTCCAAATCCATAAATGCCACAAAGACCTGTTTAGCCTTATCTAAATACTGTTCACTTATATGTTTCACTGTAAACACCTGGTCCACACACCCCCTACCTTTCCTAAAGCCTCCTTGTTCATCTGCTATCTTATTCTCCGTCTTACTCTTAATTATTTCAATAATAACTCTACCACACACTTTACCATATATATATATATATATATATATATATATATATATATATATATATATATATATATATATATTGAGAGAGAGAGAGAGAGAGAATTACATACCATGAAAGAGTCAGAAGTATTTCTGTTAGCAGAAGGGATGGCTACGAAGAACCTGAGGAAATGTAAGATCAGTTCAAAAAGTGATTAAGTTCAACTTCAACAGGTGCAAAGTTATGAAAATTGGAGAAGTTTCAAGATCAGAAAGTGAGTTTAGACTCTGGAGACAAGTTACACAGTGCTGAACATATTCCCAGACGCTCACATTAACCTGCAACCACTGCTCGGTTGACCAATCTAAGAGTAGGCTTCAGGAATATTAGCAGAGTATTACATGGCCCTTTATACAACTCGTATCAGGTCCCTCTTGGAGTATGAAGAACCAACATGGAACCCACACATGATAAAGCACGTTAAGAAAGGGGAAAAGTGAAGAGGTATATAAATAAAGTTAGTTACAGACCTAATGAAAATGAGCAGAGAGAAGCTAAGGGAAGTGAACCTGACATTAGAGGAGAGAGGAAGCAGAGGAAACAGCATGCAATGTTCAGAGAACTGATAAGACGGACTAGGAGAGACTGCTTGAGAAGCAGCAAACAACTACACGAGAGCACAGTTTGAAGACACATCAGTCACAGACATGTCAGGAAGTATTTCTTCAGCATCAGGATAGTTAACTTGGACGATGGGAGACAGGATCCATGCACAGTTTGAAGATTAGGTATGACAGGGCCCACGAGGCTAGGAGAGAGTGAATCTAGCATGTGTCAAATTATGAAGCAGGCTTAGATGCGACGCGACCCCTGCGACCACAAAGCGGCGAGCGCGTGTTGCATCCTCTTCAAGGATGCAACAAGAACAAGTATCATAAATGAACACTACAATCTCAAATGAACCACTGGGAAACTACAAAGTGGTAAAGAAGTGGAATGTGCATAGCAAAGACACAGTAAAAGTGAACTCCACACAGGGGTTCAAACACAGTGATAAAGTAAGTCAATACATCAGTCGATAGTTAAGAGACTTTACCAACAAACATGAACCTTCACTCGCAGACTCAAAGTACCTACAAACATGTAATTATCACCACTAAATCTAGTTTATATTAGCCACCAAGGCTAGTAAACCACTGCTAATATCATTACTTACCTAACACACATACACACACACTCGCATATACAGCAGACCTAGTGTCTAATCGACATGTGCCTAGGACAAAATGGTAACACACACACACACACACACACACACACACCACACACACACACACACACACACACACACTAGGGGACACAGAAACAAGGGGTCACAATTGGAAGCTGAAGACTCAGACGAGTCAGAGGTATGTTAGGAAGTATTTCTTCAGTCATAGAGTCGTCAGGAAGTGGAATAGCCTAGCAAGTCATGTAGTGGAGGCAGGAACCATACATAGCTTTAAGACGAGGTATGACAAAGCTCAGGAAGCAGAGAGAGGACCTAGTAGCTATCAGTGAAGAGGCGGGGCCAGGAGCTGAGTATCGACCCCTGCAACCACAATTAGGTGAGTACTGTAACACTACCTGCACCAGGCGTCAAGTGTCCACACACACACACACACACACACACACACACACACACACACTGTAACACTACCTGCACCAGGCGTCAAGTGTCACACACACTAGCACAACCTACACCCCTACACATTAATATCATCATGCGTATTTCTCACCTTGATGGTAACACGTAGCACACACAAGTACCAATCAACTATATACTTCTATTTTTTTTCTATTATATCGGCCGTTCCCCACCAAGGAAGGGTTACAAAAAAAAAAAAGAGGAAATATTCACCATCATTCATGCGACAGCTTTCTTGTTAAAAGCGCGCATACTGTACATCGCAATTCAACTGACCCTCCGAAGTGCACCATTCCCACTCCTCCAATCCTGCTACGCCGTTTCCCCCTGAATCCCTCTATAACAGCACTCCAATAGCACATCAAATCCCTAAAACGAATCGTCTCCACTCACCCTAATGTAATACGCTCAAGCCCCTGGCAATGAAAACCTTCACACCTTTCCTCCAACAATTCTGGGACAACCTAGAGGAACTTGGGATGCTGTGCGATCCAAAAAAAAGTATCCGGATATTGCATCACCCTGATCTCCTCTACCACCATGGAAGCAACTGCAACAGTGCAGTGTGCCATAAGTTCATAATGCGGTTAACTGTTAGCATTAAAGATTTGACGTAATAGAGGAGAGGCATTTTCTGAAATATTTTGAAATACATTAGAATGTTAAGCTTGAAGCAGCTCAGAGTTGCATTATCCAGTTACAAACGTTAAAGAGTTGAGATATGACACACAAATCATCACATGAAATGTGGCATTTCAATTTTCCCAATTTCTATAATAAAAAATAAATTGGAACCTAGACAAGCCAAAATCACTGCGACCTTTTCTCTATCATCGCTTAATTAAAATAAAAGTAAGTTATCTTTAAGGTTTGGATACATAACATACAATTTGTTTACAATGGCCTTGACGGCACAGATTTTAAACATACACAAAAATACATTACGTAGATTTAATTTAGGATAATAAAGTCAAGCAATGAGACTTATTTCTGATCAGAAGAGACATTCCCAATTATTTCACAGAAATCAATTTCACTAACAAAATTAACACATTAAAATTTACACAACCTAAAATCAAGGCAAAGCTTCCTTCGAGGAAAACATATTAACAATAAAAGTTTAAACTTGACCGGAAGAGGCATTCTCCAGGTACTGCACAGACTCCAACAAAACTTGCACCATCACAGCCTATACTAAACAAAAAATGTTTCATCAGTGTGATACGATGCATCATTAAACATTGATGACGTTCTTAATTGCTTTAATTTAATCAGGGAAAAGCAATAAACCTGTAGGTGTCATACAGCGCCATCGGCATGGGAAGCATTCAGATTCGATCCAAGTGAAGGGAGGATAAGCCCAGCTCCTT